TGTGATGTCTGAAAAGGTGGAAGACCTTTACCCACCTCCTCATCTGATTATTGCTGTCCTCAAGCAAAGGTCACCCATGAACCTGAAGAAGGAATGATGGACAATCATTACATTGTATAGTTTACATGATTCTGGTCATAAAATGTGTGTCCACCTTGTGGGTACCTGCTAGAAGAACCTCTTCCGTTTCAGAAATGAAAACCCTAATCTTGCCAAAATTAAAGGCAAAAAGAGCCCTCCACTGGGTCTAAAATGCCACTCTCGTGGCATGGCAATGCCACTTCCACTGAGAGAAGAAGGAAGCCCTCAAAAGCACACACATGGACACATGTCCACACGTGCTCAGGCACATGCTGCAGCCTGTACCTCGACAGGATAAAATCAGAAGATCATCCCTTTCCCAAAGTCTTTTTGCTATGAATTTTTTCCCTGTGGTAACAGGTTTTTCAAAGTATTTTAAAGAATAACTTCAGCAATAATTCCCAGGAAACCATTTGTTACCTATGGTTAATGTCCAATCTGCTCACGTCGCAGCTCAACTTTCTGACACAGAAATCAAGGAGAACACTTGCAGAAATCAAGACCCAAATTGGTTCAGCCTCTGAGGATAATAACGACTTAGAAATATGTATAAATTTAAGTGGTTTTGAATAAGAACAGTGTTTCAAAAAGCACTCGAATTGTTACTTTGAAATAAGCCATTATTTTCTGCTTTTTTAAAATTCCAGTCTTTAATAGGGGATGAGACCCAGACTGTCAAGAACCAAGGAGAGTTTTTGATGCAAATGAAAAGCAGCATTTAAGAAGTGCAAGTGTCCCATAATAGAGCCCAGAGCAAATTGCCAGCTCCCAGATCTGCCTGGAGCATCCAGGGCTCCATCCAGCCCAGGAAATTGGAGCAGGGGGGTTTAGAGGCCACGTCCTCTCCAGTGCTGACCTCATGGCTGACCTGGTTTCTTCTGGTGAGACCCCAGGGCTCACACCACAGCCCCACACTCAGGTGTCTCCAGTCAAAGACCAAAGAAAGTCCAACCTGGAGTCAGAGCCAGATGTCCCACATGGACAGATGTGGCCATGGCAGGAAAGGGATGGATGGGAGCTGAGCTCCTGAAGGCTCCTTGGGCTGTTTTTTTCTACCCCTGCCAAAAGTCCAGAACAAACATTTTGCTCCAGTGGAATTTGTAAGGAAAAACCTTTCTGTCCCCCAGTGCCATACAGGGAGAAAAAACATCTGGCAAGGATGCCACAGCCACACATTTTTTGACCCCTTCCAGGGACGGTGAGTCTTATCACTTCCCTTGGGTGTTTTGTTCCAGTGTTTTACAATCCCTTCTATGAAATTTTTTTCCTACCATCCAATCCAAACCCCCCTGCTGGTGCATCCACAGAGGGAGAGGCTGCCCCGCGTGCTGGGAGGGAGGTGGGATCAGGGAGGAAGGTGGGATCGGGGAGGATTCCTGCTGCAGCGGAGCACAGCACAATGGGAGAGCGTCAGCAGAGCAGAAACAGGAGCTGGCCCCAGACAAAAGGCCCAATTATCCATCCTCCTGCAAACAAACAGCCCCTCAGCCCAACTTTTTTTCAAAGATGGCTCAGAAGAGAAAAGGGCCACGGGATCGGAGGGATCAGCCTAAGTCATGTACATCTATTTAACAAGAAAACTCATTGATAAGCAAACCACCTGATGCTTGCACAGCAGAAAAGAAAACACCTGGTTCTGCCTGTGGGTTGATAAGCCAATATCTTTAATCTTTTTTTTTTTTCCTCTCTTGATGACTGAAGTACACACTCTGTGCGGCCCTATGCTCCAGCCACATTGGTAATAGTAACAAAGCTTTGATGTCCCCCTCATTCAACAGAATGTTGTTTAGTTCAAAGAGAAGAACAGAGGCAATTCTTTGCTTTTAAATTATTAGCTCCCTAAGTCTTCTGTAATGATATAGTTTGACTGAAGTGTGCAGTTTATTAACTACATAAAGACGATATTATTAGAGCGGAGAAAGGCAGCCGAAAGTTTTGCCTTTCAGCTCAGCAGCAGGGGTTTTTGATACTTTGATCTCAATCAATGCTAAATGTCTTTGTGAGATAGAGGGAGCAGCAGAAATTACCTTTGGCACCATGACTACATCAATTATTTAGTTCTTTTTCTTATAAATTAAAGTGTTCTTCAACTTTTACCCCAATTTTTTCTTCATCTTCCTTTTTTTTTTTTTTCTTTTATTTTCTTTTTTTTTTTTTCCCCCCTTCAGTTATTGGGTCGGGGGGGAAAGGCTGACTGGAAGAAGTCTGGGTGTGAGCATTAATAAAAATCCCACTGACATTTCCCAGTCCTGGTCTGGGAGAGTCTTCTCTGGGTGAGCAGATGGATAAATGTGAACAACAACAGCAAAGGGTGAGCTCCAGGTAGTGTGCTGTTTAACCAGATGACTGTGTAGGCTGTTGTTCCAAATTTGTTTCTCTTTAGACTAAAATCCTTCTTTTTTTTTTCCTTCCTCTTGGTCTTTTCCAGTACTGCTAGCATGAATACAACTGGAAAAATGGGATACCTGACCAGAAAGATGGAGAAAGACTCTTTACAAAAGCCTACAGTGACAGGACAGGGGGAATGGCTTCCCAATAGCTTCCAACTGACAGAGAGTAGGGAGAGTCATCATTCCTAGAAGTGTGCAAAAACCACCTTAATGTGACCTCTGGGGACATGGTTTGGTGGTGAATACAGTGGTGCTGGGTTAATGGTTGGGTTCCGTGATCTCACAGGGCTTTTCCAACCTTCACAATTCCATGGTCTATGATTCCAGTGTCCTGAGGCTGAAAGTAGAGCTTGCAGAGCAGCAGGCCACAGTTGTTGAAGCATGAACTGTGGGAACTTCTACATACCTATATGTGGACTGTGCTGGAGAACCACCAAATTCTGTTTTCATGGCGATCAAAGTTTCGCAAGAAGGAGGACTTGAGACAGTGTGCTGGGCTGCTATGGCAACATGAATTTTAAAAAGTAAACTGACTTGCAAGAGCTTATCTCTTACCCTTCAGTGTGGTGCAGAACAGATCTGGCAACCTCTGCCTAAAAGAGAGGTGCTCTGGTGTACTGCAAAAAATGCATAAAACATATCCCTGGCAGCGAGGGGAGAATCACCCTGGTGGCTGGGTTTGTCCCTGCATCCCTGAGGCTCCTGCACCCTGAAAAGCCAAGTTACGGTGGTTCTTTCATGACATATTTATCCCAGCTCAGGCATTCGGGTGCTGGGGTGAATGCAGCATTGAATCTCTTCGGCTGGGCTGCCACCCCATTCCGGGAGCAGGGAGGGCTGTAAGGGGATGCAAGCCCCGCTCAAGAGGTGGATTCCGCCCACGGAGCGGCGTTTCCAAGAGCACCGTGACGTGGGCTCGGTTTACAGCTCGGCTTTCAAGCCACCCTCACAAAATGTAGAGGCAGCGGTGTCGGGAACTCTCCTGACAGCTCCTTTCAGGAGGGGATGCCGTGAAGAGCTGTCACACTCTGAGTCAGCTGTTCTGCCAGGGCTGGCATTCCAGGCAGGAAGAGCCTGCTCGTGGAGCTATCCCAACCACGCCGCCTGCCAAAACCACACTGGGAATCCCATGGGAACAAGCCCTCTCCTGAGCCAGCTGGTACTTCCTGCTCCCGAGGCCTGATCCTGCTGGATGCTGAGCATTCTTTGTTCCATTTTTAAATTCATGAGGCTTGAGCAATGCGCGGTCCGAGACCCCGGAGGGGGAACAGCCCCTTGGTGTTTTCAGGCGTGTGGCCCAGCTGGAGAGGAGGGAGTGAAATGTCAGGCTTGAGGGGAGATCTGAGAGATGCCAATCGCCTGGAAAATGGATCTTTAATCTGGATATTTTAACCAGGTTCTCCGAGCTGGCCATGGCCCCCCACAGCCTTCTCCTCTGTACCCCAGCCCCTCAGTACAGCCAAAGAGGGGCTCCCCCAAAACCAGCTGCCCCTCACAGCATCCACATCCCACTCAAGGCTCCAGGGAGAGGATCACCAGCATGGGACTCGCTCCCATCCTATCCCAACAGTGTCCCCTTGAGGTTGGTGGCTGAGGCAGCCTGGGAAAAGCCCTCACAGAGCTGTGGGAGAACCCCCAGAAGCTGCTCTTTATTTCCAGGCTGACCCACACAACAAATCCCGAAGGGTCAGCCTGACTGAAGGATGCTGGAGGAACCCTCTCCAACCTGGGGCGTGGGACCTCCACACCTGGCAGCGGAGCACTCGGAGAACCACTCGGATTAAGCGTCCTCCTTCACAAGTTCACTCTGTGAGCATCCACGTTCAACCACCGCAGCCCGTCCTGCAGCACAGCAGCTCGGACTGGGAGCGTGGGAGCTCCTCCAGCACCTCCAGGAGCTGGAGCAGGGCCATGGCTGCTCCGTGGGGCTGTGCAGCTGCTGTGGAGAGGGGACGGGGCTTCCTCACTGCTGCTGCCGCCGCCGGAGTCTCCTTTCTTCTGTCAGCCAAGCAGCAGGGAGTTTTCTGAGAAACTGCCCACAGGGAGCGATCACTTTTTCCAGTCATTAACCTCACACATCCCTCACATTATCGGAATACCTTGGATGTCTAAGTTGCTGCAGTGAGCTAATTCCTCCAGGTGACTGCAGGCAGCGTTAAGTGGGCTCCTGCACAGCGAGGGGATTTGAACTGCCAGAGCTGAAAGCGCTCCCGACTCCAGCACGCCAGGCCTCCAGCGGGGGCAGAGCCTCAGATGTCACCGTGCCAGCACAGAGCGGTGGCAGGAGGGATCCAGGGCCTCTGGAGCTGTCGTGTTCCTCCTCCACTCAGCAGGCACTTGGGGGGTCCACGGGAGAAGGGAGGAGAGCAAGGCACTGGCTTGAGGTGCACAAGGCAGAGACCACTCTCCCTGCCACAGGAAAAACCTGCAGGAGTTCTCATGTTGAAAGATATTGGGAGGGAAAAAAGCAGTGCCCTGAAGGGAAAAATGTTGGGAACCCCCAGTGCGGGCCTCTGGGATAAGGATGTACCTGTCTGTCTGGGTGTCACTGCATCCCAGCCCTGACAGAGCAGCATTTTTGGATCCTGAAGTCCTTCCTCTGGTGTAGGAGATGAACATGAGGAGTAGAACACAAGGAGGTTCCCAAGAGGAGCCCCAAACCAATGAGAGAAATATTAACAGTAGGATGGCTCTTGTCCTAAGTACATTAAATATCATATTAGTAACTGTGACATGTCACAATGTCCTCCTGTCATGCTTCCTGGATCATATGTTGTCAGTGCCCCATTAGGAGTGGCTGAGTAACAATATTAACAAAAAACACCCTCAAAAACCACGACATTTGTGCCATCAATAATAGGTGTCACCACCAATGACTGTGGAGCAGGACCAGGTCCCTCTGACGGAGCAAAGCCAGCGAAAGCCAATGTGCATTTCTACTAGAGAAGCATCCCGGCCAGTGTGGGGCATCAGCCTCGTGCCCAACCCTCAGCTCCCCTGGGAAGGAGTCTTTGGAGACAGAAACAGCCCCTTGATCTTCCCAAACTGCCCTGTGACCAGAAGGGTCACCCCAAGCCCTGGGGGAAATGGGGAACACTGAGCACGTGTGAGGAGAGATTCAAATCCCACGGCAGGAGTGAGGAACCACGTCAGCCACACAGGTAAAGCTCCATTTATGATCAGAAAGTACAAAACAGCAACATCATGGCCAAGTTACAGAACAGGGACCCACAGCACACAGAGCGAGGAAACTCCTCCACATGATTGAAACACCACCTTCAAACAACACAAGACATGAGGAAGGCAATGGTCTAACACTCCTGGTATCAGCACAGGTACAGGTTGTGGCAACGCATCAATCTGAGTTTGGAGGGTCCCAAAATTTGGTTTGGATCTTCCCAAGGTGTTTCTGGGATGCAGTTCAAGCTGTGGTTTCAAACCCATGCACTGGGAAGCTGAAGCTAGTGCAGGGAGGGCTCTGGAGCCTCCGCTCTCCCCCTCCACTCCTTTCCCTCTGGGATCAGTTTTGGTTTGGATGAAGGAATGATGCTGTGCCACACCGCTTCTGATGAGGGGGCACTTTATTTTCCCCAGCAACCATCTGCATCTTAACCAACTTGCTTTCAAATTAAAACACTGTTATTAATAAGAGGTGGTCCCAGGCTGGGGACACAAACACGCCCCAATCTTGGCACTGCAGCCTGAGTCCTGCTGTGAAAAACCCCCGCCAGCCCTGCTCCAGCTGTGCTGTGTTCAGTGTGCTGACACCTCATGGCCAAGCAAGAAACTCCAGTAAGACACCGTTTCCAGGACATTCACACACACATGCACTCTCCATCTGCTCCAAGGCCAGGAAAGAGGTTCATTTATCGAGAAGTCTGTCACGAACAGAGCTGGATATACCAAAGGTAGGGAACAAAACCAGTCCAGAAACACTTTTGAGTTCTTGGATGGCAAATGGGCACTGCAGGGGCTGTTGTCCGTCGCTGTGGTGGTCTGAGTTGTCCCCAGTGCTGAGGGATGGCTCTCAGGTAGTTCTCCCACATGGTCCACGTGCTGAGCCGCTGCTGTCTCAGGCCTGGAAAGAGCATCCACGCCGGGGCTGCTTGTTACCCCGCTCTCCCCTCCTCCGTGGGGGTCTCCCAGGGGCAGATGAGCTCCTTTGCAGAGTCCTTCCGAGCCCGGGGGTGTCCGTCCTCCCCCTCCTCGGAGCCCCGGGGGCACGCTCGGCTCTCCGAAGGCGCGTCCGCTCTGACTTGGAAGAAGCTGTGTTGTGAAACAGAGACTCATCTCACACACGCACAGCACTTTTTGATGTGCTCCGAGGCAGCGAACCCAGCCCGGCTTTGAGACTTCCACTCTTCAAACCCCCAAATCCCAAAGCAAAGCGCCCGAGCATGAGCCCTCAGAGAGGGAGAACAGGGGGGGGAATGTGAGCTCCCACCCCTTTGAAGCTGAAGGAGCCGTGTGACACGGCTCTGGAGCGCCGAGCCAGGTGGAGCAGGAGCCCCCAGGTTTGTGCTCTTGAATTTATAATGTGGACTCATCCACTCGGCCAGCAGTAGAGGTGGGTTAAATGAGATCAGGGACACGGTGCTCTGAGTGAGGGACACGGCCAGGGGTTGGTTCCAACAGGGAGAGCCTCTCCTGCAAAAAATCCCCCCCTCTCACACCTCCTGCCTCGGAGCAACAAACGCTTCCCGGCCCTCCCTCAAGATTTCTCCTCCCTTGTCACTTCTGGGTCTCCTCTGACTTGAAACCACTAAACCAAACCTGAACCAGCGCTCAAGAACAAACAAATATAAGAGCAGTTTTCCAAACCTGGGGATTAAAAGTAAAACCTGGGGGTTTGCACCCGCAAAGAGGAGGTGTGAGCACAGCAGCGGCACCACCAGAGTGGGCTCCTGCCCCAATCCCAACAGATAACACATCCAATGTGGATGGTAGGCACGGAGAGGGGGAAGAGACACTTTCAGAGCCTGGCTGGGATTTAGGGCGGGTGGCACGGGTGGGATTGGTGGGATTTAGCAGCACGGGTAGGAAAGGCAGCTGTGGGGCAGGTTCGTGGAGACCTCTGGCTAACTCCAAAGAGCAATGGTGGTGGAGGGGAGGATGCCCAGGTGCGGTACTGACCTGCTGACCGCCTTGGCGTCCGGGCGCAGCCGCCACTCCCGCTCTCCCAGCGGTTGCACCTTCCCGTGGGGTACGGCCGGGCAGCGGGGCGAGAGCGCGGCCACAGTGGGCGAGGTCCAGCAGCCCCTCCTCAGGAACCGGCCCAGGGACCGGGCGGCCAGGCGGGACCTGCTGCTGCCCCAGGGGAAGGATCCAGGCCCGGCCCTTTGGGGTTCTCCGTCCAGGGCCAGGCTGGTGGGCGAGGGGCAGGCGGTGCCCTGGGGCAGGGCCGGGGGGCCGGGCAGGGCGGGAGGCAGGGCGGGCAATGGAGGGGTGCTGGTGCCAGCGTGGGCAGGTGGGCGAGGGGCCCGGGAGGCGAGGTGGCACGGCTGTGGGGAGGAAAAGGAGACAGGCCCGGTCAGGCTCAGGGGTGGCACGCTGGGGGCTGGTCTCCCCAGGCTCCATCAGGAGGTCAAGCCCTCTGCTTCTCTGGAGAAGGGCCCGGTGCCACAGTGCTGCCAGGACAGACAGAGTTCAGCTGGGAGGCAGCTGTCAGCCACCCACCCCAGCCAGGCCTGTGCCAGTGTCCCCACCCTGCAGCTCTGCCCCCTTCCCTGCCCTCCAGCAGGGGCACGGAGGTGTCACAACTTGCCTACGGAAAGCAACGGGGTCATTGCTACCAGCCCCAGTGGGTGCTGACAGATCCGGCCCCACGCCCGCTGGGATGCTGGAGGAGACACCAGCTCGTCTCATTCCTCACAAGGATTAGCTCCAGGCATGGGGGAGCCTGTCATCCCGAGAATGTGATCTTGGTTATGAGCAGCACAGCCATGTCACACCCAAGGCAGCGCTGGCTGCTCCCTGCCCAAGAAAGAGACACTGAGCCCAAGCCCTGACGGCTGGTAAGACAAATCACATCTTGTGCTGAAGCCCACAGTGTCCCTGGCTGGGGCTGTGGAGGCTCTAGCTCAGCTCATTCAGCCCTCAGGACAAGCCCAAGTATAAACTGGACAGGACAAGCACAGGACAAGCAGCAGAGGACGAGCTGCATGCTGGGCCCCCTCCCATTTCCCGAGGACTCACTCCCAGCAGAAACGAAATGCAGCTCAAGTGCCCAGGGAGAAGGGCTGAGGGCAGAGGCACACACAGAACATGTACACACACATGCAGTGATGACACAGGGAGCGATGAACACACAGAGAAGGATGAACTTGGTACTTCTTCCATTTTCTACATTTATTTTTATTAGACAGATGAATGCGCGGGAGCGACGGCCAAGAAATGAAACAACATATTGCTCTGATTTCCAACGGAAACAAACAATTTCTGGCACAAAGTGAAGTTCAGCTTGTACCAGGCGACCTTCCTCTTCGGGGACTGAGCAGCAAGGGACGAGGAGCAGGAGGCTGGGCCGTGCCAGCTCGTTCAGCCTGTGGCAGAGCAGCGCCAGCTCCTGACACTGCGTGTGTCAGGCAGGTGTTCCACAAGCAGTGGCTGGTGTTCCACAAACACAGTGACTCCTGAACATGCCACACTAACCCACGGCAGGGGGAAGAGCGATGCAAAGCAGAGATGACGAAAAATCAGAGAAAGGAATGGGTACAGAGAACGCAACAAGCAGAGCAGCAGACAAAATAGAAGTAGAATCAGAGGGACTGACTGGAACACACAGATTTGTTATTTATTATTTATACCCTGACTTGATCTTCCACATGTTACTACACACTAGCAATCCCAACATGCTCAGTGCTCCATGTTACACAGACTCTGGAGAGGCTGGAGAGCTCATCACAGCCAAGTAGCTTTGGACCAACCCTGCCAGGTTTTGGAGTATCTTTCAGTGCTCTTATGTCAAGGTAGGCCGAGGGTGCTCAGCACCTCGTGTAACAAAGTCTTGGGGTTTTAGGAGGAATTAAAGAAAAGGCTGATCCTGCTCCCTTTCAGAGCGTTGCAAAATGTGCCTTTGCTTCCACCAGGAGTAAGAGCAGAGACAGCACAGGCCTTGACATCAGAGTGAAAGTCTCGGGCAACTCGGTTTCAATTCCTCTAAGAAGGTTTATCACTGATAGGTTAAGGAAGGTCAGGAAAATCTCCCTGCCTCAGCCACAAGTGAAGGAGACAAGTTCTGCAGTGACACCAGAGCAGACTGTGCAGCCCTGATTCTGCCCCTGATAACACACAGGGAGAGCAGGAGTCACTGTTCGGGCTGTTTTGGGACACAGTGACATCCTGACTGTCCCCCTGTTCACAGGCAGTTGTCCTGCATGGACCCCAGGGCTCCAAGGGGCTGGTCTGCAAGCACCCCACTATCTGAGGGCCCCCCTTCCCATCCAGCTTTCTCCAGAGGTTGTGGCTGCCCCATCCCTGAAAGTGTTCAAGGCCTGGCTGGCTGGGACTCTGAGCAACCTGGTCTAGTGGAAGGTGTCCCTGTCCATGGCAGGGGGTGGAATGAGATGTTTAAGGTCCCCTCCAACCCAATCCAATGATTCTATGATCTCCCATTTCCTGTAAAATCCTACCAGTATTTAAAATGGATGAACAATACAAACCAGAGAGAAGCAGCTTCCCAGACCTCAGTGCTTCCAGACAGTCTCTCTGCTTCTCTAAATTTTAGCAAACAAGGAAGATTTTCTGCCCCTCTAATTCCATTTACTGGGCTTTGCAGGAATCTTTGCACTTCTGGTAATCATTGGCCAGGTTCAGACATGCTGTGCTTTCCCAGCAAGGCCTGGAATCTCCCTGAGCTCTTTAGCACTAAAACGGTATTTTAGTTTGCCTCATTCTACAGAGCAAAAGAGACTGAGCAAATAAAAAGAAAAACACTACTTAAAGTTGAAATCGGCTCTTAACATCTCTACCCTGTCCTCTCTTGCCTCTGGACTACAACTGGGAACTACCTCCTGTTGGTTTTTCTAACAAGAGAAGATAGAAGAGCAGGAAAAAGACAAGACAAGAGGTGAGAAGGACTTGATAAAATCTCTCAAGGCCTCGTGCAGGCTCTTGGCAAGGGGTGGTGGCTCTTGGCACCTGCACACCCAGCTCACGGCACAGGGAGAGCAGAGCTTCCCACTGATCACCTCCAGCATGCTGGGAGGATGTGGGAGTGACATTCAAATTCTAAGGGTCAACCAAACCTTCAGAAACGCCCACCCTGCCGACCTCACAGGGAGCCTCCCTGGCCCTTCTGCCTGTGCTCCTGTTGCATTAGCTGGGAGGTGCAGGATACTTGGAGTGAGGGGTGTGCTCCTCTCAGGGGGTGCCAGATGCGCCCCTTGGGAGGGTGCACGTCCTCCCAGGGGATGGAAGCCAGCGTGGACACTCTGAGATGGGTCACCTCTCCCTGCTCCCCGTGGGGTCATCCACTTTGCTCCCAGGAAGGCTGGTTTGGACCCAAAGGACCGGGATGGCAGCACTTCACTGGGTGCCATCCCACCTCCCTGAAGAGCAGGAGGCAGGGAAGGGCAGCTGGGCTACCTGGCCTCCTGGGGGGAATCTCAGGGCAGTCAGAAGTCATCTCCCCTCCGAGGTGTGTGTGTGGGGAGCCAGGGTCCTGCCCCCCGAGCCTGGCACAGGCAGCAGCCCGGCCCTGCCAGCACTCCCTGCCTGGCACGCCTGGGAAGCGACATCTGCTCTCCAGAAGCCATGGCAACGTGCAGGGAAGCCGGCTGGTGGCAGAGCCGGCCTGGGAAACCTAAAGCAGCACTGACACCTTCAGGAAGGGGAGACGAAGCTCAACACCAGCCTCGGCTTGTCTTTTCCCTGCGGGGCTCAGAGCCTACTTGGGAGGAGGGTCCTTCTGGGGCTGGTTCCTGCGGTCCAGCTTGCTCATGACCTGCGTGATGTCCACGGTGGCGGCGGCTTCCCTGGCTTTGGCCTCTTCCTCCTGCTGCCTCAGGATGATGGGGCTGGGGCTGGAGCGGAGGTGGCGGCGCCCGAACAGACCAGTGCTGGGAGGGAGTGAGGGAGAGGAGCAGGGTGTTAGTGAGGAGAAGGGCACCAAAAACTCACCCCTGGCAAGCAGAGTCGCCAGGAGGGCGAGCTAGGACACAGGGATGGACAAAGAAATGGTGCAGAGGAGGTGGCTCAAAGCAGGGCTGGGTGACTCGTGTTGTCACACATCAGCTATAGAACTGCTACAAGCGTAAAGGCAGTGCTGGAGCTCCTGAGGGGCTCCAGTGACCATCCACACTCCTCCTGCTGTTGTGTTTGTACATAACTAACACTGGCTGTGGAGCCAAACAGTGTCCATCAGTGGAATTTTCTCTAGTGCCCTCAGTAAGATCAAGACAGGGACCTGTATGGGCGTTTCTTTGTGATACCTCAAAAGAACACCCACTACCTGCTACAGCAAAGCCACTTCCAGCAGCAGTGGAAACCAGTGTCAACCCAGCTCTGGATGAGGTACCAGCTCTCCAGCCTTACAGGATGCTGAGCACTGAGTGTCCAGAACAAGCACTGACGGACACAAAGGCAGCCACCAGGATCAACCAGCACCAGCCAGCGACCTCGAGATGTGTGGCTCAGGGAAAAACTAGCCAGACCCCAGGCAAGTCAGCAGCAGGGCTTTTTCCACTGCCTTGAAACAGGCTTTAGATGAAACAACAGCGTGAAAGTCCACGATTCCTCTTTCTTGTTTGCTAGGTTGGCAAGTGGAAGAGGAACAGAGAGAGGAGCACATCACCCAGTCTGGCTCTGACACTGCCCGCTCAGCTTTAGGAGCAACTGCAGTTCAAATGGCCTAAATGCTGCTCAGGAAAAACCCATTTCTGAGGTCATCCACCTTGTGCCAGCTGTCACTCACAAGCAAGGTGCTGTTGTTCCCACGTGCCTGTCACCTTCCCTAAGCAGCTTTGTCCAGGCAGGGCTGAGCAGATCCCACAGAGGATCCTGAACCCTGGCTCTGGCTCTGCTCTGGCAGTCAATGTTTCATGGGCAGGAGTTTTCCCATGCCCAGGACACAGTGCTCACTCCTTCCAGGAAAGGAGCCATGATTAATTCAACAATCACAGCCCTTCTAAACAGACCCAACAGAGGAGGCAGCTGAGAATTGTCAAGTCTATTCCGACTGTACACAAGCCACTTCCAGAGGGCTCATGAATAAACAGCACCACCAGTCTCAAAGCAAACCATCTTCTCAGTGAAAAATTTTATTTAATTAAGAGAACATCTAAATCATAGTAATTTTGCTGCAACTTGGGCTTTTTCTACCCTTGCTACAACAAGGAAAACAAACCCCACAATTACAGCCAGTTTCACTTGCCTTTTTTTGACAGTCTCTTGTGGCACAACAGCCTTGGCCAGCATTTCCTTGTATATTGGAGACTTTAAATAGCGGCCATAGGAGTCCTACCAGGAGAAAAAAGAAAAACTGGTAGTTATGGGCTGCAAACACCCTTATTAAAATCACCACCAAATACAGCTGCTCAGGAGCCAGGGAGGCTGGGAACTGGCTAATCTCCCCCAGCAGCCCAAGGGACTTTGCATCTTTCAGGCAAATGTAGCTATTTAAACCAATACCCTTTCATCTTGGGTGTAAAATTCCCAGGATTTTCCATCTCCCAGTAAAGCTTCGCAGGTAAGACCCAGCTCAAAAGATCTGAACGGAGCTTAACCCAGGCCAGCAGGGTGTCACAGTCACTGCAAGGTGAGGAGTTCGCGTTTCAGGAGCCAAACT